CACCCAGAGCTAGAACACCCAGGAGCAGGAAATAGTGCCGAACCAGGTTTGGTTAAGTTTATATTGGCCAACATCCCAACCTGACAGACAACAGTTTAGCATCCCCTTACAGAAGCTTATTAGCGCCAATGAGAAAACAAAAAACCTTGTACTGTATATACCAGATAGTATTGCGTCAACACGCGAAAATAATTTGCATTTAAACGAGCAAATGATTGCGTTTATATAAGAAAATCAGTGCGTTCAACCGCAATAGTTAATTTGTGAACAATGTTGCCTGATATATTAATATCTTGCGTTATTTATGAAATAATACTGTCCCGTACAAACTAGCATTGGCTTTAGCAACAGCAGATAATCGTCACCCTCCTCTTTTTGGGGAAAACAAATCGAAAGAAGAAGCACGTGTTCTGTCGTTTGTGTATGTTAAACGCGTGTTGTTCTCGCCTTTTCGGGACGTTGTTCTTGATGTGAAGCCGCAGAAACGTGTCCTGCACATCATTTTTTTTTGCCGACTCTTGAGACATTGAACAGACTACATTCACGGTGACGTGACAGCGAGACCTGTGCCGACTGCTATGGTCTGTAACGGTGAACAACGTGCAAACTGTGTGACGGGTCGTGTACCGTCCTGGAGTTCGTCCTATCTCTGTACATTTCACGTCTGTGCACAGACACTGCTAATTCTCCCTTCCACCTACACTTTTCCCGCATTTGGCCGTGTTAAATCCAAATTCGAATGCATTTGATGTCGGCACACTGTGGGCTAAAAGCTTTTGAGGACTTGTCGACTGACCAACAATAACAGGAACACTACGCCAACAGCAGGCATGATTTCTGACTGTCATTATCGTAAATGTATTCCGTTCAGAGTCGGTAAAAGCCCTTCTGCAGTTCTGCAGTTCGCGTGTACTGTTGGAAACGTGAAGTACAGTATAGCACAGCGCCAGTGAGCATTCCTGGGTTAAACACACGTGTGTTTGCCGCCGTTTCCGTCATGAGTAGAAATCCAACTGCATGCTATTCACGATGAGAAGCGGTGCTAATTAGCTTCCGTATGCCCTCCTCAACCCTGTTTTCTGACTTGCTTGCTCAAAACCTTTGCGTGAGAATTTCTGGTATGTTGGCCTTTACACGTCTCAACAAACAGCGTGTGTGCTCCTGGCCACCAGCTGACATTCTGGGCCATAAATCATGTCCGAATGACTGGTCATTAATTTGTTTCCATTTGGTTTCCAAACCCTTTCTCAGCCTGTAGTCAGGTTAAACAAAGGAAGTAAGAAACAGTGTGAATGTGTGATGAAGCAGTTTTATCCGCACTGCAGGCAATAGGAGTTTATTGATATATGTCAAGATTTTTTCTCTTTCTCCTCGGTGAGCTTCTGTGCTGTAACATTCATCACTTTCTCTCATTTTACTGATTGTCCCCAGTTGAAAAATCATATTTAATAGTGTTAGAAAGCAGTTAGAGCTTTCAAACATGTCTCTGATGTTGTCCAGATGTTTGGTGTGCGGACTGTGCTGTATCTTTCTCTCTGACTCCAGATGTTCAGTGTGCTGTATCTCTCTCTGACCCCAGGTGTTCAGTGTGCTGACTGTGCTGTATCTCTCTCTGACTCCAGGTG